CCTGCCTCTGCCGTCCCCCTGCCTCTGCCTCTGCCGACTTTTAACCCACCCCGTCCCGCAGCTTATATTCGTTTTTTTGTGTGCGGTGCTGCCTCTGCCGCGAGTCTGCAGTGTGTGGGTCTAGTGAAGGGCGGCGAGCTAAGTGTTGTAGATGTAGATGACAGATGAAGAAAATATTTAAAATTTGACAAAACACCGCTAAGGTGCAGATGTAGCCGGGTATAAAAGTTGTGACGCGTAATAAGCTTCTCACACGTCCCTTCTCGTTTTTTGTATATGTGTGAGGTTTGGCAGGAGTTTTTTTTCCGCGGTGCTGCATACCCGGCTTAAGCAATAATGGGTACTTACGACGGTACTGAACTAAGATACAAAATTAGCTTTTGGTAATCTGCTTCTTCTAACAAATTAAAGTTATTGTTATCTGGAAAGATTATTAGCGGACAACCATCCTGTGAACGTCCACCAGTAATGATAGCATGTTGCGGGTGTAAGAGATCTGCCACATCAGCAATGTTCAAAACACCTTCACCGCTCATTGCAGCTGCCAATTGGGCTGAATTTATGTGTTCCACGAGGGAATTTATTAGTTCTGATGGACGCTGGGAGCTCAAAGCGTCTGTTGCGTAGACAACACCTTGTGTGTTGACAGATGTAGCGGATATGCTACTAAACGTTGACGTCGTAAGGTGCATGGGTTCTGTGGCTTGATGTGCCGGGGAATTGTGAAGAGACTGAAATAAAGCCGTTTGTATGGATGCGCCACTGCTGATAGAAATTTGCGAGTCGATCATGTGCTGGCTGAACATTTGCTGCTGCCGCTGAGAATTGCCAACCACCTTTTCCTGTGATTCCGTCGGCGGGCTCCCGACCTCATTATCTGTGTTTCATTGACAAAACAGAGAATAATTAGTAAATGTAATAAATTGTGAAACTATAAATTAATTCTAATTTAGTAAATAACGTCGTTTAAAAGTGTATATAGCGGAAAATATAAAAATGGACCTTTAGATAATAATGTAGGAATCCTTAGTTCAGCTTTTAGACTCAGGCCGGGCATAGATGTTTGGAATTCTCTATAAAATGGTGTCCTTGAACTCTCCCTTGCAGAGATTTTGATTTTTACCAAATTTGTTTGACTTTTTTATAAACAAAGTAGAACATACAACAACATAGTAGAACGTACAACAGATATATGTAAATAAAAATGTTTACAACGCACGGAAGGATATTTTTCTTTTCATTAAATTTTTCGAATTTTGAATAAACATGCTCTACACATAATAGAACGTACAACAACATAATAGAACGCACAACAGTTATATGTAAGTACTTACATATGTACATAAATACTTATGTACATAAGTACATATGTATGTAGACAAAAACGATTATTAGAATTGGGAATAATATGTAAACCTAACTCATACATAGTGGTTAAATATAATTAATAAATACACATTCTTAAAGGGGACTTGAAATAGAATAAGCCCTACTCATAATACCGATTAGAAGTACAACGTTTGAATGTTTTTCCCAATAAAAAAACCCAGTGTAAATAATATGTACATTCACTGATGCAACCAAGCTACTGTGAGTGACTGTTAAACGATCATATGCATATTTAGATATGTATATACATTATACATGCAAACTATTGGTATAAACACCGGCAATTAAGTTATTTACAAGAAACTTACAAATGGGGTTTAACCTCCCGACAGAGACTAATCGGCTACCTTTTTTTATTTGCAGTCACACCAATAAAACTTAAATATATGTATTTGTGAATTATTAATTATATATGTTGTCAATTTATTTATAGTGTTTATGCATAATGTTGTGCGTAAAAATGCTTTAGGAGATTTCTAGCGTGCGGCATATTAAAAATTGTATTGTACAATGTTAGTATTTCTATTTATTTACAATAGGGGTACTTATGATCATATTTGTGGGGTACTTATAATACACCCTATAATCGGATTGATACAATTTTTTGCTTGACTTTTAATCGAAACTTATGTCGAAACTTAAATGCTGTCTTAGAAGGTAGTAAGCTATCAAAATCGAATCATTCGATTCTAATGTCATTTCTTTATTTTCGATTTTTCGCTTTAGATGCCAAAATGGGGTTTGCTACTTTCTGGTACTCGCATCCCCGCAAATACGGCCAAGGCTCCCGATGCTGCCGTGCCTGCTCTAACCTAATCTAACATGATCTCATCCGATCTCAATACGGCTGGAATTTCTGCCGTCAGTGCTTCAGGGAGTACGCCAACGACATTGGCTTCAATAAGCTGCACTAAGCGTATGTATAAATCAACAACACTTGGTGTATTAATATAAGCAGTCACCCCACCGTGGGAGATTTTCGTCCTTTGCGGGGGCGGGACGATATTTTGGAACAGAAGTCTGGATGCAACACTTGGTTGACCTATCTCCTATAGGCGCACATAAGGACTTCTGACCAGGAATATATGTATACATATTCTTTGTGGGGTCGGACACGCTTCTGTGTGTTAAATTTGTTCCGCAAATACAATATCTTCGAGTATCGGGTATAAAAAAGCCTGCTCGAGCATGACACCGAAAATGGCCGCAATACATATTTTTGTTTGGTCTTTGGTCCTTGTCTCGACCATTGGGCATTCTGTGTTGGGCGATTCGCTTGTACACTGTTATTGGGTTCAGGGGACCGAAACGGACTGACTCAGCTGCCTAGGGAATTGACGACCAGGTACAGAACAGAATGTAACCCACGTCCCCCCTTATAGAACAGCTGTTTGGGGCCTTGTCCAACATCTTAGTAATTATATGGTGTTGGGCTTCATATAACTACATGTCAAATCTTTGCTAATACATATGGAAAAACGTGTACATTTCTGTTAGCTTGGAAAATGCAATGTCAGTATCCGTAAAAAATAGGAAAATCGATAGCAGTACATTTTTAGTGTCCTAGTGGTATTGGCGTCCTTGAATTTTCTGGTGATACCTACCTTTTGATGCGGATACCACTAAGCTGTTGGTCTGGCTCATAGTTTTATTAATGAGCTTTGCTGTTTGATGTAGCGGACTTCCTGGTTGGGCAGATACTGGCGCTGATCTTTGCATGCATTTTTCATTACTCCATTCGTCGCCATCAATATCGACGGCCTTGGAAGCACTACGTTGAAAGTGCTCAAGGAAATTATCAATTTTTATTTCAATTGAATGGGACGGTGAGTTTTCCATTACAGAATCCTTCTGTTTTTACATATGAGAAATATGCATGTGTCAGTTTAAAACCAATTTTTTTTTTTCAGTTGAAACAAGTTTTAACTTTGTCATTAGAAACACATTCACAAATGGTAACATCAAAAGCATTGACGTTGCGTTAATGATAACAAAAAATCAATGCATCCGGCGCCACTTTTAGGAAAAAGGAATTTTCCGATCCGGCGACTTTAATTGTAAAACACTGTGTGTCTGATGTTGCTTGGCATTGTAGAATTGAAAGCCAAAAGCATTGTTTGGTTTTCAAATGCATTGCTGATGAAGCAATGATGGGCATGCGCCACATTAATTTCCTCTCAGTCGGCGTATAGTTTACGCCGTATACCTATGTAAGTACACATGTAAATACATACATACATATTTATATATATATAAGATATATAAACTTTTAAACTTGTACATACCTACATATGTGTACATTTATGTTTTAATAATGACGGTATTCCACAAATTGTTTGTGATTTTAATTAGTTTACCTCAGTATGCGATTAACCTGATGGATATTTACCGTCGACCGAATCTGGAATTTTTTATATCCGGTACTCGAAGAGTAAATAGTAAACTTTGTGCACAAAGTGGATGTATGTAAGTAACACTGAGAAGGCATCGTTTCCGACCCCACAAAATATATACATATATTATTGATCAGCATAAATAGCCGAGTCGATATAGCCATATCTGTCTGTCCGTCCGTCCAATTTTTCATACAGATGTCTGTATGCTCGTATTCACTATTTTGAATATAAAAGAAAACTAAAAACGCCATTCGGTTGGGGAAGACCATATCTATCAGATCACCGAATTGGATCATTATTATAGCCAGAATGAAGAAATTAATTTGCAGTGGCAAAACCCACCCTGCCTAGCACATTTTATTTTTATTTTTTGTACATTCTCACATTCACACCACATTCGTTTCGTGCTCTGTGTGGCCACAACGCCAAATTAATGCACCTAAAGTTTTTAAAGTCAAAATTTCGCAAAAATCAGCTTAATATTTTTCAAACGGTAAGCTAAAACCACATGGGAATATATATTGGGGGGAGTTAAAGCCACTTAAAACCTTTTTTAACAGCCCAGCCGGATCTGTGTCTTGGCGACATAAAGCAACTGGCTTTCAAATAAGTAAAACCAATTAAAAATGCAAATAAATTCAATATAATTTCATTAATCTATAATAATCTCTATAATTATAAAATCTATAATTAGAAGCACGGTGGTCATCTATCTTTCAACTTCAGTGGCATTGTTGCCTCCATTTGATTGAGACTACTCTAGGTTTGCTAGGTACCCGCTCGAAATATAGAACAAATCTATATTTGTCCAGCTGCTAGCAACATACCAACTAAGACCACACAAATACTATCAATACCATAAAATACTATCGGCTTGTCGATCTGAGTACTGCCTGGCGTACAGCCGCTAGAAAGTAGTTTGTGCGCGACAATATTTCTTATCAGTTCCATACGAATAAAATCCCTGATTTTTCTAGCTGCCCGTTTTTTCGATCAGATCACTAGGCTTTAACAACTGAAAATTTAAGAGTGTTATACATTATGCCTGCAATATTAAGAGAATCACCCACCTGACCTTCTGAAACCTATTCCACACATCTGGGAGTACCCTAAATAATTTTAGCCTTAATCGATTAATTTGGTTAGTAATATTTTGCCATATCTACGTCTCCGTTTTATGCGATTTTAAGTAGATTATCTGCGTGTATTGTGTGTATCGTGTGGATTTTATAATATAATATAATAAAACATAATTCGGTGTGAATAAAAAGTAAAATAAAAAATATGAACAAGGGAGAAGAAAATGCATCGGAAAGCGAAAACGACGAAGATTTTTGCATAGAGGGTGAAAATATTGAGTCTGGCAGTGACGACGAAAGCGGTAATAATGACTCTGAGTCGGAAGACTTTGATTCTGACGACAATTCTTCCGAACCGACCAGGAATAAGAAAAAAAGAACTATATCGTCTAATGTATTTGAATCTGAAAGTTCCGTACCTCGTAAAACCAGACAATCAAACCGAATCAAAAATGGTATACAAAATATGGTAAAAGACGAGCTGGAATCAGATGAGGAAACAGATAAATCCCGTTCCAACGCGCTCTGGGCTGAATTTTTAAGTGACGTTGGGAGTGACAATCAAATTCAACATAAGCCGAAATCAGTGGAGAAACTAGTAGAACTCACCGACGACAACAATATCGCTTCAAAGGAAAAGATTTCAGCAATCCACAAACCACAATCCAAAAATTCTACCAATGCAAGGGAATACCACGAGCAACCTACAGCCACCCATTCGAAATGCTTACCTCGCGAATCCAAAAGATCGCTAAATGGCGATGGAGTTGGCTCTCTTCTTAATCAACTAAGCAAAAAAAAAAAACTGTCTGTGCTAGAAACGTCGCAAATGGATTGGAAAACTTTTAAAACAGACGAAGGTATCAATGAGGAGCTCCGCACGCACAATAAGGGCAAGGATGGGTAAATATTATCTTGTACTTTTTATGCCACCTTTCACCTATATTTATTTTTATTTTTTAAGCTATTTGGAACGGCAGGACTTTTTACAGCGAACCGATTTGCGACAATTTGAAATTGAGAAAAACTTACGCCTAACGCGCCGGAAAAATTAAGGCAACCTGCCTCGGCCATCGTTGATACTTATTCCCTTTTATGGAAATTTCAAATTTAAATCCACACACGGATTCTACGCAATTTTGTAGTTGAAAGAGCTATGCTTCAATTCAAATGAATTGTTTAAATTTAAATCTAGTAAATTACCACAAATATTTATATGTGTGATTTAGTCATTTTGATTGAGTTCTGTTCTTGATCACCCGAATGCCAATAATAATAATAAAAAATAGTTTCTGTATTACTGAAACGAGTTAACGAGTTTTATTTTGTATTTAAATTAAACATATAAACAAATTTTTTTAAACATATGTAAATTAAACACAGAAAAATTTCCACTGGCACGCTTTCAAAAAATATATGTACATACATATGTACATATATGCTGTTATAGGAACAGAAACGTTTACTTCTGTACGTTACGCACATACTACGAACACAACTCCAATACAAACCTTTAACTGTTTGAGTACCTGGTATAATAATCCTTACAGCGTATTTTATACGGTGTCAAAACATAAACGTATATTGTATATGTATGTATATAAATATGTTTGAGTATGAATGTACTCAAATAAACACATGTTGTACATATGTACATATATGTATGTACATATATATGAATGAGTATTATAAAATACAAGCAATCAGTTTGGAATTGATAAGATATACATAGATCTGGCTAGGGCCTGTGGTTTTTGAAGATGGAATGACACTAAAAAATACCACGCATCAAATGCAGTGCCGACCAAAATAACTCAAACGTAACCGAAACCGATGCCAATCGTCGACTTTGCGTTATACTCGTATGCACATATTGTTGTAACACCAGTCTCTGGTCGTTACGTTAAGCAGCGCCAAAAAGCAAGCCCAACGATCAGTTGTCTCAGTTTGTTTCAGTATACCCGCCGAGAAACTTCGTAAATGGCAAGAGCTCAAGCTCCGAAGAAAAGTGAAAAGTTTTGTGGTTTTCGTTTTGTTTTTGTTGGACCAAAGTGTCAATTGGCCAATAAGTTCAATTGGTTAGCGACGACGCGTCGGTATAAGAAGTTATACTAACTACCCAAAAAAAGCGGGGAGTGTTGTGGCTCTGCCCCGTTTCGCCTCTGCTCCCACTGGTGGATGGCAACCACGAATTTGAAGCTCGAACGGAGGGATATGTTTCATTTTTGTTATCAGTGTATGCAAATCGGATATTAAATAATACGTATGGATTGGTGAAAGTGTGTTAACAGTTTTGCATATGCTTTAAGAGTAACGCGACAATACCAAAAAAAAAACTGTACCTCGGCCACAGAAAAACTCATCTCGAATCCAAGTTTATGCATATGCATGGAAGGTTAAAAGTGCAGCACAATATAAAGAGAATTTAACATGCGACTGTGCAAAATCAATCTCCAGCAATTTGAATAACTCGCCCAACCAAATCGAATCCAAGTGCTCCGATTCTCAAAGCTAAGACCTCGTAGTTGCATTAGGTTTGAACCTACCCATATGGTACTGTAACAGTAAGTTAAGAAACGGGTATATCTAAAAAACTGAATACAATTATTATAACCAAAAATTCTTGTAGTCAGCCAGGGCTTAACGCTTAAGAACAAAAAGCAAAAATTATTCGAGTTCGCATGATGAACAAGTTGTGCCAACCATGTTGAAACCACACACTTTTTTTAGTCTTATAGAGTGACGAATTGAGTCTAGTAAGTCTATTGAGTCTTAGTAAAAATATAGAGAATTTATTGAAGAGGCTAAAAGTATGTTATTCAGGTGGTTTGGAGTAACGCAAGGTCAAAACAAAGTAAAACAAACAAAGCCAAATTACTGAAATTATAAAACGAGGCAAAACAGAAGACTCAAGACACGAACATTTTGTGCTCATCACTCTTTGAATAACAATTAATAGGAAATCTGGAACGGTGTCGACTCTTAACTATAAAATAAATAAAATGAATTACATAATAAAATGTACATGCACATATGTATATATGAATGTATGTATGTATAACGTTTGATGTAGTTTTACTCGTATCTGCAATCTTTTTATTAATGTTTAACGTTTCTCAAATCTGGTCAAGGCTGATCAGAGTCGTTGGGATTTATTTTGTTTTTATTGCCTGAGTTGTCATTTGCTGTGTGTCATCCTAAAATTGTTTATTAGGTGATAGCTTTCGTAAAATCAAATGTCCAGACACACCAGAAATATTAGCAAAATTACGAGAAATGTAGAGAAAAAAATTGTAGTTTATATATGGTTAAGCCTGAAGCCTAAGCTATGATCTAAAATTGTTTTGGCAATGGCCTCAGAAGATTTTAGACTCAATGACTTGAAGTAAATCCTCCAAATTGATTTTTCAGTTTTTGTAAGTCTATCAAATTAATCATTACTTTGCCGTGTATACACAAGTGGAAGTTGTATTAGCTATTTGTGCAAAGTCGTTAAGCTACTCTTAACGAGAAGGGACGTGTTAGACGCTTCTTACGCGTCACAACTTTTATACACGGTACTCAGTCAAAGTACCTGCACCTTATTGTTTTTTTTTTCGAATTACACATGTGACTTTTTAATTATATTTTTTCTACATCTGTTATCTACATCTACATAACTTCTCATGCCAACACGCTCTTTTAGCTCGCCCCCTCCTCTAGAGCCACACACTGCAGAGGCACTGCATAGGCATAGGCCGCACACTGTAGAAGCAGAGTGTGGATGAGCGAATGTGCAAAAAACAAAAAAAAGCTGCTGGACGGGGTGGGTTTAACCACTGCAAATTAATGTCTTTATTCTGGCTATAATAATGATCCAATCTGATCTTAAGTCTATGATCTGATAGACATGGTCATTTCCTACGGAAAGGCGTTTTTAGTTTTCTTTTATCTTCAAAATTATCTTCAAAGATTTTCGCGCTTTGTGGTGGCGGAAGGGGGCTGCGGTAATTTTTTAAATACATTGGATTCAGTGTGAGCATACAGCAGTCTGGAGGCAAAATTTGGTGGCTCCAGCACTAAGAGCTCTTAGAGCTTTCTGAGAACAATCCGACAAACAAGACGGACAGACAGACATGGCTCTATCGACTCGGCTATTGATGCTGATAAATAATATATATACTTTGTGGGGTGAAACATTTCCTTTTGTGCGTTACAAACATCCGTTATTCCCCCCACAAATACAATATACCCTATTTACTTCTCGAGTACCGGGTATAAAAAAATCTCGACTGTGTGGCTTGGCTGTCTATTTTTTGGCAGAAGCACTTAAGCAATTCGCTCTCCGTTGTCGGCCTGACATATGCCGCAAAACACAAAGAGAGGACAGCAGCCGCAATAACATAAGACACTGGGTTCCATGCGACACTTGGCAAAGGTGTTAGGCCAGACGTGGGGTAATTGGCATAAAGCAGGCACATAACTTAGCGAAATAGTTAGTGTAGGAACGACAAAATATTTGACCATTTTAACGGATGTAAAAAGACGCGTCTCTAGCTGTCTTTTGGCTATGATGTAAGGCCAGGGCAAGCAAACAATGACAGTATGAGCATCGCCAAAGTCAATGAAAACAGTTGTCCCAAAAACATAGGCCATAAAAAGCGGGCATGCCAATATTCTAGGTAAATATAGTTTTCTTCCATTCCAGTTGCAAAATGCTGGAACCCATGAGAGCCAGCTTTTGTGATTACTGGGTTAGTTTACACTAAACTCCTTAATTCTGCACTTGGTCGCTTTCCAGAATTCATCATGTGGAATGCATCAAATTATTTGCTACGCTAAATGTACAGTGTGGAACACCTTTCAATTTGTTTTGCAAGTGGAGATTTCTACACTCGTATCTATCTGAGAATATCTTGCCACATGATTTTCGGTCAATATGGGAAACCTGTTCAAAAAGAGCTTTGATTGTACAATACGTATATATGCATACATATGTGGCGAATCGAGTGGCGATTGTAGCTAAATGAGACGTGCAGCGTCTGTATGTATACTCGACTTCATTGTATTGTCGTCGATGGGGTTTTTCTGAGCGCCGCCTGAAACGCCTGCACTTTCGTTTTCTTTGAGCGCATTCAACCTGATACTGCACTGCCTGCATGATAATGATGAAACACGTAATAATGATCTTGCCACCAGTTGCTAGCCCAGCCAACAGCCGACAGCTGCAACTGGTTGCACTTGCAGAGAAACACAGCGCAACGCAAGTCCGAGGATAAGTATGTCCCAATCGATGTGTTCGAAAACCGGAGCGCACATGCATTTAGTTGTTATGCCCCATCCTGGACTCCACTATTTAAAATTAAGTAAAGCTTTAAAAAATGCCGCTGGAATAATAGCGGCTTCTATAAGTTCGGTACAGAGGCTAGATTGACTCCGATACGCAAGTACTTGTACTACCCACAGAAGAAAGTGAAAGTCGCATGCCATTTAATTAATTATGATTTTTTTATTGATTTAACCAACACTTGCATAAAAATATACATACACATAGGAAGTACACACACACATATGTACATAAGTATATGTGAGCATCGGCTGACTTTTCGTCTGATACCGTAACCAATTAAAAGCAAAACTCAAAACGATTTTATCCCTTTTTCCCTTTTTGTTTTCGTTACGCATTCTGCGTCTGCAAAACTATTTTGGCTTTTTGGCTGTCATGTGCATACGCATAAAAGAGATAACCGTGCTTAGGTTACGACACAGATTTGATGACACTCACGTACTACGCACATATGTATGTATGTATGTGTATGTACATGCATATGTATATATATTCACTTGGCCCGAACCACTTGGCCAACTGCACTATCGCGGTTACTGGCCACATATGCGAGATATGGGATTGAACGTGTCGCGCATAAACTGGGGATCGTAATTCCCATCGGGCAGTTACACTGCACAGCAATACTTTTTTCCTACATGGAATATACATATGTACATATGTATGTAGCTTTCGGCACACTCTAGTTTGCTTTTAAACTTTCACATGTGTATGATTTTACATATGTATGTAACTCCATAAGATTTTTCCATTTCGCTGATACATGTATGTATGTATGCATGTACAGAAATGGAATAAAAATTATTATTAACATACGTATGTATGTATGTACATATTTATCTCTTATTTTTAGTTAATGTGCTTACTGCGTGATCATTGATTGTTCGTTATTGTGAGCGCGAGACATACTCAAAACAATAAGTACATGAGTATAAGTTTATATTTTTATACCCGGTACTCGAAGAGTAAATAGGGTATATTGT